CGTTTGCAAACTGAACATCTATTTGTTTTTATGCCCCCCCCCCCTTTTTATGAGCAACCGTGGTACAGCAGCTAGACGTTTGCCTGCGGATCCGAAAATCGTTGGTTCTGTTTGGACGATTTTTTTTAATGCTGACCTTAGCTTCCAGGTTGACCTAGCCTTATTTGGGCATCAGGTAAAGTCCTGGGAAGTATAGACGGCTTGTGGGATTATGACCACATCAGCCACCGAATGACAATTGTGGTATTATATATCCGTATATGCCACCCAGCTCGCTAGCGTAGTTGGCTAAACCGGATTGCTCGGTGGTCCGGGTTCATGCCCGGGGGTAGGCAGAAAAGCCAGATTTATCCCAGATTTACGGTTTTTATAATGGAATAAAGTCCCGAAGGGCTGCAATATCCATAATACCGAGCCTCATGGCCTCTGGATACTAAAAAAAAAAAAAACGATAAACATAAGGCTGTTGAAATTTGTACTTCACTTCCTAGACTTCATCGCCCTGGATTCCAAGGTGATTTAAAAAAAAAAAATTATGCAGTTTCGAAATCAAAACCTTTGGATCGGTGGGCGAGTGCACTTCGTCCGCAACCTCACTTTCACATACAGTGGTAGCCCTTAAACATTTTTTTAATAGGACTGATTATTCGTCTTCTTCTTTGCGTTCGGTTTCGTATGCTGAGATCAGACCATCAGGTGTGTTGCCTCTATGAACTCGCATGTCAGCTGCAGGTCCTTCATGGTTCCCCACAGCTTGCTCTGCACACTTTGCTCTTAAGGCCAGGGGGTGTTTTCGAAATTGTAGGTAGAGTGGGCAGGTCTGCAGACTGTGCTCAGGTGTTTGTGGTCCTGTTTGACAGGCACACAAGACTGACTACAAGTACTTTGTATTACATATACTGGGGTGTCGTCTCCGCAATGAGGCTTTGCCACCCTGAACCAGCTGCTGCTAGTAGCAATATTACTTGCTGAAAAGGGCCTGATGGTCGAAGGGATAAGAACATAGGGCTGTCATACAGGAGACCAGTGTTCGAATCCTGGGTATGGTTGAGTATTTTTGTCTCTCAGGGGTAAAAATGAAATGCTATCCAGCACAGTTCTGACGTCAGCACTGACGAGGCAGTCCTAAATCCTTAGGCTTAAATACACCCCCAACCCCCCCCCCCCGCCTCCTTTTTGTGTTTGGGTGTGCCTTTACCGCAGTATAGGCTCCAGTCTCTTCCATAGCGCTGATCTGGTACGGGTGTCCAAAAAACCAGAATAACAGTTTTGAGAAAACAGGTCCTGAGACCATAGATGGCCTTGTTAATGATAAATGATTTATTATGGCAATCTGGCAAGTAGCCACTCAGACAACAATTCGGGGGACGGGGGACTAAACCTTGTTTAAATGCGCAATTTCCTACCATCCGTTTTTTCTAGGTGACGTAGAGGCATGTGCGAGAGGAAAAAAACCGCATGCACAAGCACTGTCAGAGGATGAACTCTCCGGTATTTGTATGTCTGATGTGAACATTTTCACTCTTTAAATTGCGAAGACTGTAAATGTCACAATTGTGGCAAAATTTTATTTCCGTTAGTAGTTGTGGGTTTATCATTTTGTTTTAACAGATTAGTAATTACACCTATTATTATTACTATTATTATTATTCTTTGTGTGAAAGTGAGCAAAGCTCAAACGCTTTGAGTCCCCAGAACAGAGAAAATAGGAGAATTGGGTCTTGGTGTAGTCAGTATTATTATTATTATTATTATCAATTAATGCCGAAAAGCAAAGTAGGAAATATATGTTTAAAATGATACAAAATGTATGAACAATGCTGACATGATAATTAAACTCTATCGTGAACAATTTTTAACTTGTTTTCATTGTAATCGTGTTTTCAGCCTGATTACATAATCTGTATTTGTTTATGTCCAGAAAATAAGGCAAGTGAAATGCACTAGAGGCATGACGAGCGCAGAGGCCAGAGAGCAGGTTTTGGTCGACGGAGTCCCGCTTTTATGCGATACCAAATCAGGAGGTGGCGGTTATCTGGTCTTTGCGGTAATGTTTTACTGACAGTCTTATTTACTATCGATCTGTTTTACCATTTGATTGTTTTATTGTCAGTCACTTTAGTTATGTCATCTGCTATGTTAGAAGATCGTGATCTTTCACGGCTCAGTTTGGAGGGAGAGTTCTGAGGGAAGATTCTGGAGCTTTTGCCGTAACTACAAGTAGTCTGACTATGGAGGTCATGGCTGTGACTAAAGTAGTAACAGGCTAGAGTCACAGACTTTCACTGGGGCATGCTTTCCCAGTGACTCGATGAGTATGCTTAGAAAGATAAAAGAAGGGCTGGGTCCGAAGGCAGTGGTTGGTGGCTCTACAGCGTTCACGGCTGACACGGATTAACTTCATTTTCGGAATGACAGGGACATATGATTTCAATGTCAGTCTTTGGAACGACTAGCCTGATGACGATGTTAATAATGATCAGAATTATATGATTTCCATACTTCAACGCCAATATTTGATCCACGTATTCTTTAGATGGCGATGACGTTGATGCTACCCATGGAGAAAATAATGATATAATGATGACGATGATGAAGATGATAGTAAAGATGTTGATGATAATTATGGTAAAGATGATGATGATGATAGTGATGGTGAAGATGATGATGAAAGTGATGGTTTAGGTTTAGGTATAGACGACGGATCAACATCAAGGCACATGAGGTAACATAAGTTATATTTCTTACTCATGACTGAGTCTGAAAATCTCAGCACAATGCACGCACTCTTTTGCACCGGTGAGGATACTCAAGTACTTTTGGCTAGATTCGATTTGGCGTCTGATCTTACTACCCAGAGGCCAGGGAATATTACTAAGTCCACGTGCGAAAATCCTAGGGATCACTACGACCTGAACCTCGAGACCACGCAGCCCCTAAATAGTAAAAGTGAAGATGATGATGGTGAAGATGATGATGATAATGGTGATAAAGCTGAGGATGATGGTGAACGTGATGATAGAAAAGATGATGATAATGATAATGGTGATGGTGAATATAATGATGAAGATGAGAACAGTCAACGGTACATTGACCACATCAGATACATTTAACGCGTCATTTCATTGGTGCAGCGCGATGCTAAATTAAATATTGAGCATACTGTTATGAATACTGCAACCAATGCGCGTAGAGGACGAGGTGGACTTTGATTGTCTGACATCATGATTAGACGATGTACTATCAATGTCACACACTGACAGTGTTTTCAGAAGAAGAAGGAAAAAATTTACGACAAAAATGAAATGTTTGCGCACTATGCTAGGTGTAACGAAGAAAGATCGATTTAGAAACGATGATATCAGGAGAAGAATCGGCACAGAACAAATACTGAACTTTATAGGTAAACAACAAAGCAAATGGTTTGACAATGTAATAAGATTGGCATTATGTAAAGGAAGAGGTAGGCTTTGACTATCCAGTGGGATGATTATGATGATGATGATAATGATCATGATAATGATTATGTTGATGATGGTAATGATGATGGTGGTGTTGATGATGTTAATGATGTTGATGATTTGATGATCATGATGATGGTTATGATGATGGTAGTTATGATGTTGGTGGTGGTTATGATGTTGGTGGTAATGATGATTATGATGATGATGATGGTGGTCGCGGTAATGAGGATGATGACAACAGCGCGGTGGCTTTGTAGGTGATGATGGTAGTGGTAATGATAATAAACTAAAACTATAATTAGTTTAATTAGTTGTATTTGTATATTTACAGAGACGTGAAAGTGGCAACGTGAGGTTTGATGGGCGTTCATGGGAAGACTACAAGAGAGGATTCGGTGCTATCAACGGAGACTACTGGGCTGGAAATGAAGAGTTATACAAACTCGTTTCACTGGTAGGACATTTTTGCATTCTTAACCTCAGTATCCAATAAAATACCATTGCATGGACAACGACGTAGAAGGTAACAATTCAACGGTAACAATGATTTTCCTGCCATTATTGCATCTATTTTTTTATACTCTCTTATTCGGTTCGGTTTTGTAAATTTGTCTGGTACAAATTTCGATTTGTTGTTAAAATTTAATTAACTGCATTCAATAACAGGGTCAACATCACGCGGGTTAACTTACTTTTCAGAATATTTATTAGTATTCGTTTAATCTGAGCTAAGCTTGGTCGTTTATAACAATCCATCCTGGTGCAGAGTTAGCTACTTCAGTCCTAATCTTCTTCTTCTTTTTCTTCTTCTTCTTCTTCTTCTTCTTCTTCTTCTTCTTCTTCTTCTTCTTCTTCTTCTTCTTCTTCTTCTTCTTCTTCTTCTTCTTCTTCTTCTTCTTCTTCTTCTTCTTCTTCTTCTTCTTCTTCTTCTTCTTCTTCTTCTTCTTCTTCTTCTTCTTCTTCTTCTTCTTCTTCTTCTTCTTCTTTTTCCTTTTCTTTTTCTTCTTCTTTTTCTTCTTCTTTTTCTTCTTCTTTTTCCTCTTCTTTTTCTTCTTCTTTTTCTTCTTCTTTTTCTTCTTCTTCTTCTTCTTCTTCTTCTTCTTCTTCTTCTTCTTCTTCTTCTTCTTCTTCTTCTTCTTCTTCTTCTTCTTCTTCTTCTTCTTCTTCTTCTTCTTCTTCTTCTTCTTCTTCTTCTTCTTCTTCTTCTTCTTCTTCTTCTTCTTCTTCTTCTCTTCTTCTTCTTCTTCTTCTTCTTCTTCTTCTTCTTCTTCTTCTTCTTTCTTCTTCTTCTTTTCTTCTTCTTCTTTTTTCTTCTTCTTCTTTTCTTCTTCTTCTTTCTTCTTCTTCTTCTTCTTCTTCTTCTTCTTCTTCTTCTTCTTCTTCTTCTTCTTCTTCTTCTTCTTCTTCTTCTTCTTCTTCTTCTTCTTCTTCTTTGCTTTCTCTTTTACTTTTTGTTATATACATCAGTAACTGTAGATTAATAAGTCACGTTTGGGATAGCGATGACCACTACTATTTTTTTTTTTTTTTTGACAGGGATACACCGAACTCCGAATCGACTTGGTGTATCAAGGGAAATCGTATTACGCCATCTACCAAGTCAGTATCGGCGACGAAAGCTCCAACTACAGACTGACGCTGAGTGGCTACAGTGGTGACGCCGGTGACAGCTTCTCCTACAACAGCGGCTCCGATTTCAGCACACCGGACCGAGATAACGACAAGGATGCGAGAAGAAACTGCGCAGAGATCAGTGGCGGTGGCGGTTGGTGGTATAACGCCTGCACCCAGGCTAATCTGAACGGCAAACATGGAGTTAAGGGCTCCCAAGGAATGATTTGGGAAGCTCTTAACCCTGATCAGCCTGTGACATCCTATGAGATGAAACTACGAAACCCAGACTACGAACAACTCTCTGACAACTGAGCAGATGTAAAGTAAAACAGAATTACGAAATATAGAAGTAAACATAGTACAGGAATTGCTTTTAATGAAAGGTAAACTTACATACATACATCAACTTTAAAAGTCCAGATACCGTAAAGATTTCTTAACTTTACAGTACATGACCAAAATCTTGTCTATCTCGAAATATGATAACTTGTCACAATTATGGAATCACATTTTCTCCCGTGTCACATATGTTTAGAAATAGGCAACTTTACTGAAATTACTGAGAATATACTAAATTAGGTTTATATTTACTTTCGAAGGAAAAGAATAAACAACGTATTAAAACAAAAACATGTTAACAATTAAAGTAACACGTGTTTATCCTCTTACATCTGCCTAGCATTGAATCCACCAAACTCCGTTTTCTCATATAGTCCTAATTTAATACACTCTCAGTAAGGACAGAGCTGACAAAAACTGTATTTTAACTATTTATTTTTTTAAACTTTAACAATGTTTCACCTCCGTCAGTGTAGGCCTCTTAAACATTGTCTGTCCAGAATTGTTAACCCTTCCTGTACCGGATCAATCATTTGATGCTACAACCTGTGTCACTAATTGCTCATCCAGCATCACCTTGCAACGTCTGCCTCCTCTACCGCTATTTCTTTCAGTCGCCACTTTGTATCCATGTGTGCATCTCCTGCCCTAATATGACCACCAAGACCACCAATTTGTATCCTTGTGTGCATCTCCTGCCCTAAAATGACCATCAAGACCACCAATTTGTATCCCTGTGTGCATCTCCTGCCCTAACGTGACCACCAATACCACCACTTTGTATCACTGTGTGCATCTCCTGCCCTAACGTGACCACCAAGACAACTCTCTCTGTGGTCAAGCTTAAAATATTTGACATTCATGAGCCGTAAATAAAAAAACCTTTGCTGTTTCTTTTCCAAGAAGTCGCAACAACCGAGTTACAAAACCTTGTCTGTTATCACGAATTTGTTCTTAACGTTTTCAGAAAGCACAGACAGTTTTCTGCACGAACATGATGGGTCTTCAGGACTTACACAAAGATCCATGAGAAACATAAATGATAAAGGAATCTAAGATCTAGGTCGTTGTGGAAACAGTTATAATTGAAATCGTACTCCTTAAAGAAAATGCATCAAAATAGAGATGCACGTCAAAGACACAATGGGAGTGAAATTGCAGGAGCCAGGTCGTACAGTCAAAGATCGAGGATCTGTCAGGGTAACATTTTCCTGACGGCGTGAAACATGATGATGATGAAATGAGACCTAAGAAATTGGGAACAATATTTCTTTTACAGAATACTTCATAAACACTTGTCAAAGACTAAAGCCATAAGCTGACCTGTTAGTTATCACAAAATTTATTTAACAATAAGTGTCTAGCAAACTAATGAAGACTATATAGAACTAATGTTAACGTTTAAACAAACATATAGCACATAAAAGTTGATGATTTAGGAAAGAAGGTTTACATCTTGAATGAGATTTGTATGTAAATTGTCTGACATGTTTACTGGTTAAAATTAATAAATAAACCTAATCTGCATTGCAAAATGACTTTTTGTTTTTCACGAATGTTTTACTTGTTCACATTGGTGTAAACTGTCACAATTTCACTTTGTGCACTGTATATGTTAGCAAAATAACTATCCTCCATTTTGATTTTTTGACCTAAAGACGTGCAACCCTACCAGGGTCGTGCAACAAGAGATTAAAACTTAGTGACACAAAGTGCCACCATTCGGATGAGAAGTAGCCGATGCAAGTACCAGAAACTCTGTATAACCATTTGGTTATATTAGGGTCCCCTACGACAGCTAGGGCAGGGCTTTAAAAGACCAAAAACATTGTGCCCCACATTGAGGCGGAATTTTAATTTAGTTGACAGAGAATAGTGAAATAAAGTCCACTGTCAGAGAGTCTGTAGAGTCAGAAATGCATAATATCTAAGTACAGAAATCCATAAATCCATCACACTATACTTGCAATGTATTTGAAAAGACTGCAGCAGTGTAGTACTAACATTATAAACAACAACACTGTATGCAGTACCAGCAAAAAAATGCCAACATTAAATCACAATAGAAATAAATTTAACAACTATGCCAACAAAGCCAGCACTACTATTCCAATCAACTATGCCAATAAAACCAACAATACCATTCCAATCAACCATGCCAACAAAACCAACAGTACCATTCCAATCAACCATGCCAACAAAGCCAACATTACTATTCCAATCCACCATGCCAACAAAACCAACATTAACATTCCAATCAACCATACCAACATTACTATTCCAATCAACAATGCCAACAAAACAACCAACATTACCATTCCAAACAAGCATGCCAACAAAACCAACATTACCATTCCAATCAACTATGCCAACAAAACAGAAACATTACTTCAACAATACCGACAATGATACACCCCCCCCCCTCACTTTTCCCTACAAAATGTCAGTTACAATAGCAAGAATAACAACAACAATACTGATAACAACAGTACAATGATAATAAGAACAAATATAAAAAAAAAAAAAAAAAACCTTTATAGAAACAGGAATTAGACAAACAATAACAAAATTAATACCAACAACTGCATAATTAAACATAGCAACAAATAAACAACTGACACATTAGCACCAAAAATACTTAACAAAAACAACACTACAACCAACAACAATAACCAACTACAACAATACTACTAATAAACACATAACTACCAACATTGAAAGCGCTTGTACCAACAACAATATTACAAAAACAAAAATATTACCTCCGACAACGTAACTATCAACAATTACTAGCAACAATATCAACAACAACATATTAACAACAATATCATCAACGACAACACAAATAACAATAAACAAAAACATAATAAGCAACAACACCAACAAAAACAATACCACAAAAAAAAATTCGAAACGAATCAGAACCAACAACATTACGAACATCAACAATATTGCCCCTCACAAGAAAAACACCACAATCAACAACATTACCAGCAACAACAATATTCCCAATGAAAATATAAAGAAATAAATTACCTTCAACAACACTACTACCAATAAAAACATTTAAAAAAATATTGCAACAGCAATATCTATATATATATAAAAATCAATGTTTGTGTGTTTGTTTGCCCCCTATAGACTCGGAAACTACTGAACCGATTTAGCTGAAATTTTTAGGATATGTTTGTTTTGATACCGGATTTTGAACCATCGTGGTTTGAAATTCAACCTGTCACTGTTAGAGATAGGTGACCACAATTTATGCCATAATATTCGCAACTAATATTTATTATTTTAGTGATTTCTAATTATAGCCACGTTAGTAATTGCGCATGCGCCGCCGTAGTCAGAACGCAAGGCTTCCGCCATTCGCCGGCGAGTTACGTGCAGCCAACGCCTTAATACATAGAGTAGGTCGAGGTACCGCAAACAAGACTATCTCTATATTTGCCACAATAACCATATTAAACACGATTTCTATTTTCTTTTTTTTTTTTCAAACAACCTTCGATGGGGGGGGGGGGGGGGCAATCAAGGACTATCTCGACGTCGGCGCAGACATTGACTGCGTCATTAACTTCATTAGACAGGTGCGATTTCCATTGTCTTTCTTTTCTAAAAACCTTTGATGAAGGAGAGGGTAGTAGGTGGATTTAGTTGTGGGTGGGGGGGGGGAAGTGGGGTTGGGATCAAAGACTATCTCAAATTACGCCACAGCAACGCGTGGCCGGGTACAGCTAGTTACAAAAAAAAAAACACAACTAACAACATTCCGAGCAACTATGCCAACAATAGAAAATACCAACAATTTTTTTTAACGTAACTAACATCAATACCAATAAAAATACCAAAATAACAATACTAACAACGACAGTATAACAGCAATACCAAAAAAAAAAAAAAAAAAAAAAAATACTTTACGAAAGACGACGATATCAACAGCATCAACATTACCAAATAAATTACGAACAACTAAACAAAAGACTCTATCAACTATATTACTAACACCTAAACAAAAGATACTACCGAATAAATTTCTAAAAGACAAAACAAAAGACACTACCAACTATATTACTACCAACTAAACAGAAGATACTACCATCTATATTACTAATAACTAAACAAAAGACATTACCGACTACATTACTAACAACTAAACAAAAGACACTACCGACTACATTACTAACAACAAAACAAAAGATACTAACAACTGTATTACTAACAATGAAACAAAAGACACTACTAACTATATTACTAACAACTAAACAAAAGACACGAACAAATATATTACTAAGAACTTAACAAAAGACCCTTCCAACTCTATTACAAAGAACTAAACAAAAGACACTACCAACTTTTTTCTTACAACAAAACAAAAGACACTACAAACAATATTACTTACAACTAAACAAAAGACACTACAAACAATATTACTTACAACTAAACAAAAGACACTACAAACAATATTACTTACAACTAAACAAAAGACACTACCAACTACATTACTAACAACTGAACAAAAGACACTACCAACTACATTACTAACAACTGAACAAAAGACACTACCAACTACATTACTAACAACTGAACAAAAGACACTACCATCTATATTAAAAACATCAACAACACTAGCTATAATATTCTCCGTTTTCACGCTACCGGATTTTAATCTCCAGGGGGAAGTTCTCTTTGTTTTTCCTCTTCTGGACTGTAGTCTTGTACCAGTGTTTTGAGTTGTGCGTGTATAATCGTTTTACAGATCTGACATTTTTGTGCGTAAACTGTTGGTTCTGGCCCTCCCAGGCAGATAGTCTCCGACTTTGAATGAAACTCCAGCTTTTACGGCAGGCTTTTTAGAGAGGCAGTGGGTCTATTCTTCTCTCCTCCCATTGCAGTGACTATCCAGTTAGAGAACTAGAGTGACCTGAAGTCTGACCTATCGCAGTTAGTTTAGTTATTAGTAACTACAC